TGCAGGTTTCTTCTTTACCGACAGTGGAAAGGCGGCTTTTTTGAATAATTAAATTATTAACTTTGATTTTATTTGAGATTTATTAAAAATAAAGTACTGTAAACGCTCAAAACAGTTAATTGCAAAGCAATACATTTGTTGAAAAAACTTGCTAAAATTTACCGAGCAACTATTCAGAATGATAACAGAACTTATTTTTAAAAAATCCAAATTAGATGCAATGAGATTCCTTAAGGGGGTCAGAGAGGTAATTGAACAATACAAAAATTGAGATATCTTCAAACAAACTTATTTTTTATATTCCAATTTTATAAATATACAGTAACTAAAAATGTTTGTATTATAAGCTTTGCGTTTATCTTTTTACTGCATCTCGCATCATCGCAAATTCGAAAACACACTATTATTGGTGTCGGTTTTGTCTTATTAATTAATATTTATGATCACAGAATGTTTTCTCATTTCTCTAATATAAATAATAGAAGAAATTTTAAGTTATGATGATGAGCATTCAGTTTTTGATTGATGGTCTTTGGATTTAATTATTTGTCAAATTTTTTATTTTGTATGTGTTAAAAAAAGATAGAATATTTTCGGGCAAGTCGCTGACAAAGACAAATTAAACCGAGTTGTCAGAAACGATCGAAGTAATTAGTTCAATAATCTACCACACCATGCGAAATACGCTACGGGTATGTGCACAAACACACTTCCAGATTGTTACATTAAACAAACGTCTCTCGTAGTTTACTACTATTATATTTCTCTATGGGTAATGGAATGTCTTGTCAGTTTCTTGAAAGTCTGTCGTGGTCAATAATGTTTTTTGCTGAAAATGCAACAAAATACAGAAGAAAAAGAGGGTTGCATCGATCCCTTGAAAAATATAGATGAGGCGGCCAATCGGGCTACCTCAGTTGTTCAAATTTCACCATTAATATCAATGTAAATAACTAAAAATACAAACTTTTTTTGACATTCGCTCTCAAAATCTGATGTTTCATTTTTAACACTAGTGCTATAAAGACTTTATGGCACTAGTGCGATAAAGTAACATTTTTAATGCTACGGGGGGGTGTTAAAAATTGCATTTTTAACACGTTTGTAGAATAAACTGTTTATGAGGTGCTTATACAAGCGTTTTAGAGCAAAACGTTTTCCAATAAAACGTTTTAACGGGAACCATAAACGTGGTATGTGATGATTTGCTGTACAAATGTTAATTTCTCATCCAGTACAACTCCTAAGTCCTCAACCGATGAAACATATTTCAAAGCCCTATCATCAATAGAATAACAACTACTATAGTCGGGAACCTACTTGCTTTACGAAAAAAACTATTACAACGCCAGTTATCAATATTTAGCTGTAACTTATATGCTGCACACCAATCAGCCAGCCTATCGAGATCTTCCTGCAACAGTTTCTGATCACTTATCTGATCCACAGTTCTCCAGACTTTGAAATCATCAGCAAATTTCAAATCTTTGCTGTTTCTACCACAATCTACTATACAGTGCGGCCGTAAAGTAAGGAATAAAGCCAGGCGCAAACCAGAGCGGTGGCGGTGGCGGTGGCGGGAGCGGTGGCGGTAGCGGTGGCGGTGGCGGGAGCGATGGCGGTGACGAAGCGAACTAATATCCGCAAACCAACGCGTTTTTTCCGCAACAAATATTAGTACTTTCAGTATATTGATTTTCGCTTCTGGATCAAGATTGGTTGCAGAGCTTGCTCTACTGGCATATTTTGATGAACTACTCTCTGTTCTTTTTTCATTTTTACTAATCTTTGTTTTACCAGGTGCTACTTGACTGTCATTTTTATCTTTAATTTTGACTGTAAAACTACGCAATGAGTGCCCGAGACATGGAAGAAAAAGCCTTGTTTTCTTTTTTTTTTTCTCACACATTTTCGTTAAGTTTTTCAGTATCACACGACATGTTTGCATTTCGCTGTACTGATGCAGATCGCGCGAACTAGGCGGAAAAATGATGCAGGCAGCGTTAAGCCAGGCGCAAACCGGAGCGGCGGCGGTGGCGGTGGCGGTGGCGAACGAATACTGCACATGTAAATAAATCAACGCGTGCATACTGCGGCGAACTGGAAAACGCGCCCGCCGTTTCTGCAACATTCTACCGCGGCTCTGCGGCGGTCACATTGCGATCGGCGGTAGAACGCTGCCTGCATCATTTTTCCGCCTAGTTCGCGCGATCTGCATCAGTACAGCGAAGTGCAAACATGTCGTGTGATACTAAAAAACTTATCGAAAATGCGCAAGAGAAAAAAAAGAAAGCAAGGCTTCTTCTTCCATGTCTTGGGCACTCATTGTGTAATTGCCAACTAAAGACATAGCTAAGGATAAAAATTACAGTCAAGTTAACTCACGTAGCACTTGGTAGAACAAAGATTAATAGAAATGAAAAAAAAAAACAATTCAACAAAATATGCCAGTAGAGCAAACTGCAACCAATCTTGATCCAGGAGCAAAAATGAAAATAGAGAAAGTACTAAAATTTGTCGCGGCAAAAACGCGTTGGTTTGCGGACATCTAGTTCGCTCTGTCACCGCCACCGCCACCGCAACCGCGCCCGCCACCGCCACCGCTCTGGTTTGCGCCTGGCTTAAATTCAATAATTATTCTTTTGAGCAATTTTTTTAAAAATCCTCGAAGACGTCAATTTTATTTTTTGTCAAGCATTTTTTATTAAATAAAACTATTATACAGGGTGGTCGCAGAAAAGCTGGACAGGTAGTAACTTAATTTTTTTAAATGGACACCCCTATTTTTTTACATTTTCGGATTTCTGATAAAATTCTAAGTGTTTTTCATGAAACATGTCCTTTACCTATCTTCAACTGTTTCGGAAATATTGACAGTTGAAAATTGACTTTTTGCAACTTTGACAGACTGTAAAACCTAAACGGGTAATTTTAGAGGAAAACCGATTTTACATTCCTATCTCAGATTTTTATAAACTATCATTTAACACCAACTTTGAATTTATCCGGAGATTAAATTTAACTGGAAATTTTAATCATAGATTAAATTCAAAGTTGGTGTCATGATAGTTTATGAAAAACTAAGATGAGAATGTATGATCCGTTTTGCTGTAAAATTAACCTTTCAGGTTTTACACATTTATTTCTATTTTCTTGATGTTGAAAATTCAGACAAATGAGAATTGGAAACCGATGAGCCGGATTTGAACGGTGGACTAATAATTACCCATCATGAATAAAATGAAGACATGAGCCCAAAAAAAAAAAACAAAGAAAAACAGGAAAAATAATGAATAAGAATTCTGATGCTGTGATAACCAATGATAATTTTTTTTCCTGTCTAACAGATGCGTTTCCCTCGAAAGATAAAACGTTTACGTATTATGCTGGCTCATTATTTATTTAACCATCTGGCTTAACTTTATTGTTATGTTATAAATAGACAGTTTATATTAAAAATTATGCGGTAAGATTAGATTAAGTTATTTGGTTGAAATTTTGGGTCATTTACCCAAGTTAATTTTTAAAAAATTATTTGGATAAATTTATCAATGTAGGTTATAAACTGCCAAGATAAAGTGTTTACTGCTTATTTATGATGGTTTCAGTGAATTAATTATAGATAGAAATAAATATATGTTTGAAAAGAACTATACATCATAGTATACTTACTTCGGCATTTCATATTTTTCGTACATTAAGGGAAGCTGGATTTCAGAGTAGTGTTCAAGCATCTTTTTAAAGGAATATTCAAGTTCGTCGAGTTTGATAAGAAAATTATAAAGGGTGTTTACTCTTGCAAAAGTTACAGCTTCATTGAGGATTTACAAGATATAACTTGGAGAGCTAAATTCAGCTGATTCAGCTTATAGAATATGCTCAAAGCCAAACATGAATTTATGTATTTAGTTCTAAGTTAATTTTGTTTGCTCTCTTTTCTTTAGCTTCCTTGTGAGTTAGAGGGGGATTGTGTTTAGGTGTTTAGGCTCATCCGCTGATTTACTTACGAAAAGTTTTTTCAACGTCTTCGTGGTTGAGTTTCAGGATATGGTTTTAAATAACCACTCTCGAGATGGTGAAAACTTCTTCTTCTGAATCTGTGGATGGGGTACAATGGTACGAAATTTTTTCTTTGACAACTTCTAGCAGAAAATGTTCTGGGAGTCGTATCCGGGAAATGGTGATAAGACTATCAAATGTTTGGTGGAACTTGAATAAGTAAAAATTAGCCTTTTCATTTTTCGAACTCTGGAAACATGATGAGGAACGCCTTGAGAATGATTTTGGAAATTTATGTCACGATGCTATTAAGCATTAAATATTTTCTCGCTAGCTCATTTTGGATTAGAGTTCGTCTATGCAGACTGTAGTAGAAGTTGAACACAAGCCAATTCGATTGTAAAAAACAATGCGTCATTCGAGGTAGTTGCAGGTAGTAAAACATAAAAATATTATGTCAGAAATTTTAATGACAGTAATTTTCTAGTTAGTTTGAAAAGTTTCGCGATAATTGTTATTTTTATGATTATGCACATCGTTTATTTTTTAATTGACGGTCTTACCTAAAATAAAGTTTTTTATTACAAAATTCTGATTCAAGGATAACAAACACTAAGCAAAGAGAGTTTTGTATCAGGAATAAAAACATAGGAATTCCGTTCTTATTTACATTTTTATAAACCAAGCCACAAAGATGTTTCCGAAAGTTTTCCGGTTCTTTGGCGTAAGTAGAACAATGACTTTGTCCTAATAATCTGGAAATTGAATTTATTTTCATACTGTAACATTAGTGAAAATGAAAATAAGGTCATACTAAAATACTTCTTTCGAATTTTTATTAGCTGAACCAATGAAGTTTCAAGTAATACTTGTATGTTTAGAAGATGTGCATAAACAGAATAAATTTTACGAAATAAAACTTTCAAGGTTGGCCAGTCGAAAGGAAACTTAAAATTACTTTTATTTAACTATATGCTAATAATTTTTGTTTTATTTTTCAGAAAATGTCGATAAAATTTGGCATCCTCACTGGTAAGTAGCTATAACTTGAATTAAACTGAAATCATTTAACGTCATCTTCATTTTTTTTTGCTGCTGCTGTCGTCATCCGAATCATCATTAGAATATTCATCAATTAAATTGAGTTTTAGTCTGCTGCAACAGATTCAGCATCATTGCATAATCAAAAATTCATCGTTTAGTGAGGTAGTTCAGAAATTTGAAAATGATTTAATTATAATTGGAAGTTAACCTCCTAAATGCTGACTTTTTAAATTGTTAAGCAATTACTACGACTACTTTGATATCCCTACGTTTTTTCTTTGTTTGCTTTGATTTCCAGTTAGCACAACATGCTCTCAACATCCAGAAAAAGATGAAGCAGGGCCCAAATTGGAAAAAGAAATACTGTTGGAGTTTTCTAAAAGTCTTGTAAGCTACAAGAAAATTGTTACGGATGACTTGGCAGCTATTATTCACGAATTGGAATTTGTGACCACTAACTGTGTATGTGATGTTTTATTTACGGTTGGTGGTACTGGATTTGCACCTAGTGATGTTACTCCGGAAGCTACCAAGGCTGTTATTGATAAAGAAGCGCCAGGTTTGACGTATGCAATGATTTCAAAGAGCTTGGGTAAGTTGAGTGAATTTAACAGGTGTTTCAACTAAGCTAAAGTAATATGTATTTGACAAACCATCTAAAAATGATACGACAATTTTTGGTTCCCGGCAGATAATATTATGATAATAATATATTTCAACACACTCCACCAATTTCAACCAATTTTATCATTGCCTTTCCCAAAAAAAGTGTTATGGAACTTTTTTATCGCAAAAATGATGGCGAGTAGCTCTTTTTATATTTGAGAATAATTTTTCACTAGAATTGAAACTACAGAAAGCAAATGATCTTGAATAAGACGACCATCTTTTGGCGCATCCGATTGTATATCAGTCTCAGAAAATATATCATTCCTAAAATAGTTTGGAATTTTTTTACATTTTTTGGATAATTTATTCCTCTTAATGCTGCTACTCTATCTACATCATCTGCTGGAAGCCATTACCAAAATTATTAACAGAAGATTGCTTAAACTGAACTTTGTTGGGATTAAATTTAACTCCATTTGCAATAGCGTTTTCTCAAAATTTGATCATATTCCTCATAGAAATCAGCATCTATTAACAAGTCATCGGTGTATACTTACTCACCCATAAGGTCTCCAAAATTTTTCTGATTTGGCTTGAAAATACTCTGGTTCCATATTGAGCCCGAATGGGATTCGATTAAGCTTATAACATCTCGTGAATAATTTTTCTGTTTCAGTATGAAAGCTGAAAACTAACCCAAACTTATTAAGGTTTCCTCTAATTTGTTACGAATGGTAAAAGGTATCCTTCTGGCTGGAACAATAACAGCTGTAGCCTCCATATTCACTCGAGTTTCACATTTATCCCTAAACTCGCCAAGACCTTCCAATAATTCAGAGTTATAATTAACAAACTCATCCTAAATATTGAACTTACTCAGTCTCAGTCTATATTTCCCTTGTGTAGAACAAAGATTCAATTTTGCACACAATTTAAGATCCAGTAAAGGAGAAACAGCTTTATTCACAATTATAATTAAAAGATAAAGCAAAGGTAAAGTTGCAGTAAAGCTTGCAACAAAGAATCTCATTATACGTAATTCTTTGATGCAAAACTCAGTGATTTATGAAGATAAAAAGGTAAGTATTTAATTATTTATCTGATCGCTTAAGAGAAATTAAGGAACTGAAGTGGATTAAAATCGCTTTAAAGAGTTTTTTATGTAAAAGAGCATATTATAGTCTGAGGATTTTTTTGACGATAATGTTTGATTGTATTTATTGTGTAACAAATTTTAAGTATTAGAAGATGCTGTTGATAAATATTTGTTGTCGTTTTACACTTCTATAACTGTTGAGTTTGTAAATTATTTTCTATTATTTAACTGAAACTATAATAATTTTTTTTATTTTGGCAACGCCGTTTTGTTTTGGCAACATTGCTATCGACGGCTTCATGCCGATGGCCCTAAGAGCCAAGAATTTATGGATTCGATTCTGTTCTACCTTTAAGTACCGTCGAAATGTAAGAAAAATATCTCCGGTCTGCATTTTGACTTTTGTTAACACCAAAAATAAAATAAAAGTTATATAACTAAAATAATTATTGTGCTTTACTATGAACCAGAATATTTATCAAGTGATACGTCGAGTAGAGTAATTGCGAGACCCCACAAAGACGCAACAATAACCATAGTATGCGTTGTCAATGAAAAATTGTATTTGTTTTTCAGACAATAGAGTATACGCGCTACTTGCATTCTTAGAATCCTGCCGGGCTCCCGAGTCAATTTCGTAATAATATTTTGATTGATGAAAAAGGCATATAGTTTAACCATTATTAATTGAAATTTCATAAAAAAGGCGGCTCAGTTGATCTCTTTGAAGTCACGTGGGAATCCATAGGCGTCTAAATATTATTATCATGATAAATGAAAACAAATTGGTTAATAAAGAATAAACATACTCCAGATATTTCTATAAAAACTGAAATGACGAACGCCATTGCCCCGAAATTCTAGCTGATTTACCTCTAGAATACAGTGGAGTTAATACGTTAAATAAATGGGCAAAATTCATATAGTAGGTAATCCTTAAAATTCCGTTTTAAACTATTGAAATAAATCAAATATAAATATTTGAATGGGACTATTATTCCTTTATTAAAAATTCAAATTTGAAATTGATTTTTATTTAATTATCTGTGTAATTTTATACTTTTGTCCACTTCTAAAGAGAATATCTCACACTGTCAACAAGAGCGGCTTAGCTTTGTCGGCAAGTGACAAAGCCTAGCGGCATCGCCAACAATTTTCAATGTTTTTTTGCCGGCGTGCGGTGTCTTTGTTATAGTGTACCAGGACTAGGCATAAAAATATAAAAATTATTTTATATTATTATAAGGGGTATTTTTCTAATTTTGAGTAGTCACCATAGAGATGCGATTTTCAATTGATAATGGTTATACTTTACACGCCTTAAAACAATAAAATTCACCCGATGCTGTGACTTAAGGGGCCACAACACGTATTGTCCGTCGATTTTAATCTGATACTCGGACGGAATGTAAGCTGGTGGCTCCCTACATTAGAACTCCAATGGTTACCTGACGTCACACCTGTTTTTGCCATATAAAACACCCTCTCGCTCCTCATACGGAAAGTGTCAGTTAAAAATCGACGAACTATAGTTTTTAAGGGGGATTGTAAGCGTTTCGTAAAAACCAAACTACAAAAAAACTGCTCCAGCTATCGGGATGAACTAATTAAATTTATATAAACGAAGGATTATACAACCAGCCTAAAAACGCGTTTTTTCGATATATTAAATATTTATTGTAAAAAAATATTGCTAAAGATCGCCTTTTTTCCTCTTTTTTGAACGCAAATATAAGCGATGGATTTATTTTTTTTTGAAAAATCGCTCTGTAGGCTGGTAGGTTGAACCCTTGTAAGTTTTTGTTCCAAAAATGAAGTCTGTTAAAGCTTTATTGACGCAGTAGTTTGGTTTTTCGTGAGCACTGATTTGATGCATTTTTGACTAAAAGTATTTTAAGTTGCCTACCCGGAAGGGAAATTCTGAGCGGGCGACGTGGAAGGAGCTATTATCAAGTGACCACGAGAGGATTGTGTGATACACTGGAAAAAATGTGAGAAAAAAATAAATAAAATTTAGGTATTTTATATATTCACGATAAGAGGCCACAACACGTGGAAGATTGTGAGCGTTTCGTAAAAACCAAACTACAAAAAAACTGCCACAGATATCGAGATGAACTAATTAAAATAAATGAAGGATTATACAACCAGCGTACAAAAGCGTTTGTTTATTGTACAAAAATGTTGCTAAAGATCACCTTTAATTACTTTTTTTTGAATGCAAATATGAGCGATGGATTATTTTTTTTGTAAAATCGCTCTGAACGCTAGTAGGTTGAACCCTTGTAAGTTTTTGTTCCAAGAATGAAGTTTGTTATTGCTTTATTGACGACGTTGTTTCGATTTTCGTGAATCGTGGACACTGATTTGATGCATTTTTGACTAAGAGTATTTAATGTACTGTTAAAACTATTTATTGTATTGTAGTTTTGTGTTTCATTCAGCTTTTTAATGCATGTGGCGCTTGTCTAGCTTTTCTTGAACTTTCGTCTCGCGGTCTATGACTAAATAGCCTTTAGCCTGTAGTGGAGCCAGGATTTTAATTTGTATAAATAATGCTATTACTTGATAAACATTTATTAAAAAAAAATTAACAGTGGATCAGAAACGTCGTGTATATACCTACAGCCATTCTATTTCGTATAACTAAAAATTGCTATAAGATATACAGGGTGTTCTGCAAAGTGCCTTTAAGAACGGATTAGTTCTGAGTCAGATATGATCGGTGGGGTGGCACTTTTATCCGTTTGATGGTTTGATCCATCAAATTCCTTTCTCAAATCCTTTATTTTTCTTTTATGAGGATATTGCGGATTTATGAGTTCAGGAAGCAAACAGCTAAAAAAGAAAGTTTTTAATTGTTGCTCCATCTTTCCTTTCCAAAAGTCGTCGTCTCTGTATATCTAAAACAAATTAATAATATATAAGAAGTCGCCTAGGGTGGAATTTATTATAAAAATCAATCAGTCAAAAATTTAGTAACTATGTTGGCAACACAAGCCTTTTCACATAAAAAATTTGAAAGCATTGACAATTTTACATTGTATTGCCAACATAGTGTCATTTTGACTTTTATCTTAAAAAAAAAACAGATTTTAAGTATAGAATTTTTAATACTTATTTAGAAGTACCAGTCGTTTTAGTAACTAAACTAATGTCGCTTCTTGAACAGACAAATAAAATAAAGTTAGGAATTCGACATTCGTTTCTGTTGGTAATTTTTCGTTCCATCTGATTCGTGATTGATAAATAAGGATAGGATTATTCTAAATAGGTATTAAAAAATACTATACAAGACAAATTGTAAAGGTAAGTAAAATATATCGGGTCTTCAAAAAAAAAACAATCAAAGATTGCTTCGGTTTTTTAAACGTATGTCTTAGATGTGTCTAAGCAAATTTCTTTTAAAAATTTTGTCAATGAGCTTCAATGTCAAAATGTCATGTCATAAATCCAGACCAATGAGGAAACAATAATACGACGTACGTTTTCGAAATCAAAGCAATCTTTGATTGACCCGTTATAAATATTGTATATTAGTAGGTAGGTACAGTACCTTTTCGTATGCCATTTGAAGGGGGGTCCAAACAATAAAATAGCAATATTCTCTAGAAGCTATTTGTAGCTGTCCCTGCACTTGAAAGTAATAATTATGATTTCTTTTCAGCTTGAGATTTTCGTCTTCAAAGTATGCAAATGTAGAAGTACCTAGTACCTGCCATTGAACTGGTCATTTTATCTACATTCGCTTCGTCATTACTAAAAATTAAAACACGATTAATTTTGAAAAAGATGTGTTTTTTGAAGAAGCGCTCGAACTTTTTTACAGCCGAATATACTTACTCATCAGTTTGAACTCTAACAATTGAAAATGATGGACCTGCTGC